TGTGTTCTATATTGGCGTATCATTCATTTCTTCTGATAAATTCACTACTTTATTCTTAACAGGCAAAGGACCCTTCTTAAGTTTCCTATTCAAACTGAATGTTATCAATGATCCAACGTGTGAATGCCGCTTAGATGTTGAATCACCAGAGTATTTTCTTTTAACTTGCCCTCTGACTAATCAAATTGTATGTAGATACTTTGAAACATTACCAAATTCTCTTTGTGTATATACTCTATCTCTTATGAGAACTTTGTTAAGCTTAAAACCATTTGTACAATAATTTACAAAACACTACTAATCAATCGTGTAAATAATTAATCATATATATGTAAATAATACTGGCACAGCACAATAGTCCTTTGGACTTCGTGCTTTTGTAACAATAAATAAATAAATAAATAAAATTATACTATGTTTTCTTCTGTAGAAGGGCGTCCGTGCCCGAAAGCTAAAAAAATGAAAAGACACTTTTCCCTGGAGGAATGATTAATTTTAAAACAAGAACATTAAGCATTCAGGAAAAAGTTTCTTTTTGAAAAAAATATACTTCTACCTGGATGCTTTATGTTCTTGCTTTAATATTGATTCAAGGGATTATTTTTATCGAAATGATTAATTTTACTCAATAAAGATTTTTCTCTGCTTTTACACTTTGATTTAATCAATAAAGAATCTAGGGTTTAGTTTATTTCTACAATTCTTTTATTTCTTGAGCTTTACAGCTAACTTGCCCTTCAATACGGAGGCCTAGATGTAGTTAGCATATACAGCATGTTATACCGAAAGCTCGAGAAATTAAAGAATTGTAGAAAAAACCTAGCCCTAGAAACCTTATTGAATTTGTCAAAATAATTCTCTTGTAAATACATCATATACAAAGTTTATGAATTTTAAAGAGATAGAGCAAACACAAAGTAAAATGAAAGACCAGAGTTTTTAAAATTATTTTTTTTTTGAATTACCTAATTTTAAACAAAGTAAATCGTTGAAATATTTAATAATTTATTTTGGCAATTTTTTTTTTTTTACATATTTCATAAAATATTATCTCTATAGACATTACACTGCAATGATAAAAGTTATTGAATGAGAGGTAAACCCTCTCAGCGGTATCGCCAAATTAATCACCAGACCGCTCTACTATTGGATTGGATTGGTTTTCTCATATATAGCAAGAGTGGTACACCTAGAAAGATTTGAAGAATTTGGCTTAAATGGACTTCTTTTATGGCGTATATTGAATTTTCAAATTTTAGATGCAAATTTATAGATTAAATTTATAACCTTGGTAGGGTTGGAATATAGGCCCTGCCTTGAAGCTCCCATACATTCCAAGAAGTGGTCTGGTGAGGCCTCTTTGGTTCTGTAGATGGTGCATTGTGTAGGAAGGTTTTTACACCATCCTGGAAGAGGAGCAGTTTTGTATGGCCAGATATTTATTTCAAATTTTGTACTTTATTCATTTGTAAATAAATAGCATACTATATATAGCTGTATGGCCAAGTATCATTATATTCCACCATTTCCTTCTGGATGCGTAAAATTCTTTATTACCACTAGTGTATTCCAGGATAGCCTAGTGGACATGGCATCTGCCCGGTAAGTGGAACATTGTGAGTTCGATTCCCATCTCTGGACACTAGTGTATTACAAAGTTCAAATACCTTCTATTGTAACTTGCCAAAGAACTCAAGGCCACTAAATACTATGGGATATAATATGGTCGAATATTGAAGAGAATCTGTAACCAATGGAGTAGCATTCAGTCGAATATTCCATCCATCCAGTCTATGCAATGGCATCCAAGAATCTGTTGGAACTTCCCAACTTGTCATCTACCTGTTGCAAGAGCGTCAACAAGAGAACAACGCTAACTACCATCTACCTGTTGCAAGAGCGTCTACAAGCAGTTACTTATTAGCTACCTGTTGCAAGAGCATCTATAAGAGGACAACGCTACTTACCATCTACCTGTTGCAAGAGCATCAACAAGAGGCTATTTACCATCTACCTGTTGCAAGAGCGTCTACAAAAAGGCTACTTACCATCTACCTGTTGCAAGAGCGTTTACAAGAGGCTAATTACCATCTACCTGTTGCAATAGCGTCTACAAGAGACTACTTACCATCTAACTGTTGCAAGAGCGTCTACAAGAGGCTATTTACCATCTACCTGTTGCAAGAGCGTCTACAAAAAGGCTACTTACCATCTACCTGTTGCAAGAGCGTTTACAAGAGGCTAATTAGCATCTACCTGTTGCAATAGCGTCTACAAGAGACTACTTACCATCTAACTGTTGCAAGAGTGTCTACAAGAGACTACTTACCATCTACCTGTTGCAAGAGCGTCTACAAGAGACTACTTACCATCTAACTTTAGCAAGAGCATTCACAAGACACTACTTACTATCTACCTGTTGCAAGAGCGTCTACAAGAGACTATTTACAATCTACCTGTTGTTAGAGTTTCTACAAGAGGCTATTTACCATCTACCTATTGCAAGGGCGTCTACAAGAGTCTACTTGCCATTTACCTGTTGCGAGAGTGTCTACAAGAGAACAACGCTATTTACCATCCACCTGTTGCGAGAGTGTCTACAAGAGAACAACGCTACTTACCATCTACATCTTGCAAGAGCGTCTACAAAAGGCTACTTACCATTTACCTGTTGCAAAAGCGTCTACAAGAGAACAACGCTACTTACCATCTACCTCTTGCAAGAGCGCCTGAAAGAGGGTACTCACATCTAACTGTAGCAAGAGGGTCTACAAGAGGCTATTTACCATCTTCCTATTGCAAGGGCGTCTACAAGAGTCTACTTACCATCTAACTGTAGCAAGAGGGTCTACAAGAGGCTACTTACCATCTAACTGTTGCAAGAGCGTCTACAAGTGTCTACTTACCATCTAACTGTAGCAAGAGGGTCTACAAGAGGCTATTTAACATCTACCTATTGCAAGGGCGTCTACAAGAGTCTACTTACCATTTAACTGTTGCAAGAGCGACTACAAGAGACTACTTACCATCTAACTGTTGCAAGAGCGTCTACAAGAGTCTACTTACCATCTAACTGTTGCAAGAGCGTCTACAAGAGGCTACTTACATTCTACCTGTTGCAAGAGCGTCTACAATAGGCTACTTGCCATCTACCTATTTTAAGCGCATCTACAAGAGTCTACTTACCACCTAACTGTTGCAAGAGCGTCTAAAAGAGGCTACTTACCATCTACCTGTTGCAAGAGCGTATACAAGAGGCTAGTTATCATCTACCTGTTGCAAGAGCGTCTACAAGAGACTATTTACCATCTACCTGTTGCAAGAGCGTCTACAAGAGGCTACTTACCATCTAACTGTAGCAAGAGCGTCTACAAGAGACTACTTACTATCTACCTGTTGCAAGAGCGTCTACAAGAGGCCACTTACCATATAACTGTAGCAAGAGCGTCTACAATAGGCTACTTACCATCTACCTGTTGCAAGAGCGTCTACAAGAGACTATTTACCTGTTGCAAGAACGTCTACAACAGGCTACTTACCATCTACCTGTTGAAAGAGCGTCTAAAAGAGGCTACTTACCATCTACCTGTTGCAAAAGCGTCTACAAGAGGCTACTTACCATCTACCTGGTGCAAGAGCGTCTACAAGAGACTATTTACCATCTACCTGCTGATAAATCTGCCTGTCGCAACACCTTCCGCGGCTTATTATTAAGTTCGACTAACACCCTGATTACGACGATACCGAAGACGTATCGCCTCGGAAACCGACCTCTTTATTAAATAGTTTTTATTGGTGTGTCCCCCTGAGTGGTTGTGGGAGGAGTACGGAGGGGCCCTGGGTTGGTAGGGGGCCTCTTGGCTTGATTGGATGGTCCCCATTTATGGACTGCCACGCTCCTCTGGCTACTGTTAGACGCATTCTAGAATCCCCTCTCTATATATGAAACTATATCTCTTCTAAATTTTCATTTTTCACTTACAGCCGTTAGTCCCACTCATAACCCTAGATCAAATTGTATATTTAAAGAAATTTAAAAGAACTATCGACAAAGTGATGTTGTTGTTTCTAAGAAGCGATATAATCTTGGGCGAGATTTCGGACTATGATGTCCTTCAACAGGCTGTTACGTGAATACAAGAAACTAGAGAAGATATGTATATACATGTAGTTATTTACATTAATAGAAATATTCTATAAAATGAACGATTATTATTTTCGTATACAAATTAGTTATGAAAAAAGAATGAATACTATGAATGTAGTGAAAGACAGAAACCATGTGAAACTTCTCAAACACAGAAGAAAGTTTTGGAAATAAGGGGGTGAACATTTTTCAAAGGTGGGAAACAGATTGGGTGTTGGGATGTTGTTGTTGTTAATCAATTCGAGATCGACTTTGATAATTATAAAGACAATTTGATCTGTTGGAGGCCATCACTTACAACCCATCTAGTGACCTTCTACTAGCTTCCATGACCTCTTCCAGATAGTTTATTGGAAGACGTCTTCTCTTTCTTCTTTATTCAATTTTGCCTATTATCAACAACTTTTCTAAACCATTTACTTATGTCGTAAAAATAGTGGCTGCCTGGCCGGCATTTATAGCTCTTCAAATCAAAGATATTTCGGCCAGGTATTATGTGTCTGAAGTAGGTCATTTATTGTTTGTATATTTGATTTTCTATAGTAAATAATCGCTTGAATCTAAAAGTGTAAAAACAAATCAAAAGATTACAACAGACTTCAGACGCATTGCATTTCTTTATTTTGGAATTGCTAGATTTCAACCAATTAACTTTTAAGGGGATTATAACGAGATATTCTCTACTACTAGATTATTTAGTTATTGGCCTGTTGAAGCTTTATTGATTGAAAGCTAACCATTCTAAAAATATATAATACAGTTATCAGCGTCATAATCAATTATTTCTTAATCAATTCTGTCACGGTTTGCTTTTGTGAATGGAATAAATACCCAAATATGGCCATTTCTCATAACTATCGGTGGTTCAGTGGTAGAATGCTCGCCTGCCACGCGGGCGGCCCTAGTTCCATTCCCGGCCGATGCATTTTTTTTTTTTTTTTACAATTTTTAAAACTCATTTATATATTATACAAGAATGACATCCACGGCGCCAATTTATCATTGTAACGAATAGTATTTGAATAAAAGCATTTAATCGGGTAAAACCCGGGCGTTGCCCGGGTCATTCGGCTAGTAAATAATAAATGCGTGGTGTCTGAAGAGTGTAGTAGTGTGGTATAAATATCTAGAGAACTCCCAGAGTATTTACAATCCAGTACCAGGTGGTGGAAATCTCCTAATTTGCGTGGAAAGAATTGTGTAAGCCATCATATATATGGTTTACAATATTGTAATGTCCTTTTATTAATTCTCTTGACTATGAGAAAGACAGTTTCTATATTTAATTGAAAAATCTGTTAACTGTGTGCCCAATTCTGGGTTTTAAATTTTCGTAATTGACCATGTTGTTGCTGGGTTGGAATTCAACTTATTTTAAAAATTATTTATCCGAGTAGTTTCTCTCGAGGATATTCATGTAAATGTTGAAGAAATTCTGACTTCCATTCTTAATGGGATATTTCTTTAAGGAAGGAATATTTGGTAAAGTTGATACTGATGAGGATTTTCAAGCACATGATTCTGACCAGGCTAATGGATAGAAAGCTAAATGTCGAGTTATGACTAATTACCCAAGTTTACATGGCATAAACCAGCTATTCCCGACTTTCCTTTGTACTAGATGACACACTTCAAAATTATATTTTTGTAAAATTGGAACGTTTTAGAGCCAAAACATAAAAAACTACACACTATTTTAAAAAGTTTCATTATATAATATTGATAAGGCACAATTTGGATTATCTATATATATAAAAATGAATGTATGTGTGTCTGTTTGTTTGTTTGTTTGTCCTTTATGCCTGACCAAACCACTCATTGGATCGCCATGAAACTTTGGGAAGTTATTTAGTATAGTACTGGGAAGGTTTCTAGCAAATAAAATTTTTGAATTAACTTTTCGCCTAGAAATAATCAAGATAAATATTCTAATTTATCTGTTATAATTCAACAATCTGCTCTAAATATTATCATGATGATACGATGATTTTGTAATGTAGAAAATTAGGAAAGACAAAATTCAGGATGACACGGCAATTTATTTGAGACAAGAATGATGATACAATTCAAAGGCAAGATACTATTCCTTTAACTTCCAATTACCGAGGGAACCAATTAATATTGATTTTATTCAACTTATCGAGTATTTTTCAAGGGACCGGGAAAAAATGTTCACTTTATCGAGAGATTCGTTAAACAAACCTTTACTCGGGTAAAACCCGGGCGAAGCCGGGTACATCCATACAAGAATAATGATACAATTCCAAGGCAAGATACTATTCCTTTAACTTCCAATTACCGAGGGAACCAATTAATATTGATTTTATTCAACTTATCGAGTATTTTTCAAGGGACCGGGAAAAAATGTTCACTTTATCGAGAGATTCGTTAGACAAACTTTTACTCGGGTAAAACCCGGGCGAAGCCGGGTACGTCCGCTAGTAGATTATAATCACAAGGTAATAAGACTAAATATAAATAAATAAATAGTGTGCGATGTTTCGGTAACAGCGTTATTACCATCTTCAGACAAATGTACTGAATGAGAAATTTTACCACATCCTGTTTTAAATAGTTCCTGTTATCAAGTGTGTATAAACAAGATAGCAGATAAGTAGAAGATAGATTTCTAAGAAACACAGAATATAATTATTAGAATAAAAAATGTACTAAGAATAATATTCTGTGTTTCTCAGAAAACTATCTTCTTCTTATCTGCTATCTTGTGACAACAGTAACTTTTTAAAACATGCTGTGGTAAAATTTCTCATTCCGAGCTATTAAAGCTAAAAAAGATGCAGCCTCTTGTAATCAAATCAACGATCGGCCCAGCTGGCGAAAAGGTCAGTATAATCGAAACCAACATACTTTTGAAAATCCTTGAAAGATGTGGCATCGAGTACAAAGTAGAAGAAACTCCTTCAACAAAGAAACGAACCGCGAATCCCCATCACATTCAACATCACGTAGCCAAAAGACACCGAGAATGGAAGTTGTCTCACAGCATAATGAAAACGATGTCTCCATGAACGAGGTAACTGAAGTCCCTCAAAAAACGCCCGCAGCTACCCCTCCTCAGGTTAACGAATAAAACAATGATGAAGATAGTCCTTGGACAACAGTTATACATGCAAAAAAGCCAAGTATACCACCTGTAATAGCGGAAAATGTAACAGACTGGAAGTTGCTCTGCCAAGAGCTGAAAGACCTGTGCACAGATAAATTCCAATGCGCGATCTCAGGAAATAAGCACATTATCAAGGCCAAAAATATTTCAGACTTCAAAAAAATCAGGGAATACCTTCAAAAAAACAATGGCGGCTATTCTTTTAGACTCCAAGAAGAAAACCCGCTCAAAGTGGTATTAAAGGGCGTGACAACAGCCTACAAGACTGAAGATATAGCAATAGAACTTGCAACAATGGGCTTTACTGAGACCTCTGTGAAGAGACTTCATAGACAATCAACTAAAAGGCCAATGAATATAGTACTGGTAGAATTACCGAAAAATGAACATAACAAGAAAATTTACGGAATAACTGAACTTCTCTATCAGAAAATTGCAGTAGAATCTTTCAGAACAACAAACCGTGTGACTCAATGCTTCAACTGCAAGGGTTTCGGGCACGGTCAACTTAACTGCTTCCTGAAACCAAAATGCGTCAAGTGTGCGGAGGAGCACCATTCGAAGGACTGTCCAATAAAGTCAAGACAACTTCCCCCAAAGTGTGCAAACTGCGAAGAAGCGCACACAGCCAATTACCGCGGATGCCCAAAGTTTCCAAGAGTACATCAGCAACAGCCAAGATACCCTGGTCACTACAAACCTAACAACCCAATTCCGATTTCAAAAAGAATTGAAACACTGCCGAAAATTGTAGAACAACAAAACAAAAGCATTGCTGAGGTTGCGACAAGAAAAACTTCTCGTTCTGAGACTAAGGACCTATGTGAAAAATTGATGCAAGTAATCAAAACATACCTACAATGAATTGCAAATTACCTTTTAAAATTATTGCTTGGAATTGTAACGGAATCAGATCAAAGAAAGAAGAATTATTGCACTTTTTATAAGAAAACTCAATAGACATTGCTCTGCTCAGTGAAACTCACCTTAAACCCTCAATTGATCTAAAGTTCAGGAACTATCAAACCATTAGAACTGACCGAATTACAGGAAAAGGTGAGTGAACAGCCATCATTATAAAATCCTTTTTTAAATATAAAAATATATCCCGATTCATACTTCAAACTTGGAAAATACCTAAATTTTGATGAAACCAGATGGAAAAACCCTCTTGCAAATCTCAGCAATTTATATGAAGCCTGATGCATCATTATTGGAAGAAGATTTGAACCAACTGATAAAACACAACCACGCAATAAACGTTGTAGGAGACTGGAACTCCAAACACCCTCTTTGGGGATCAAGGACTTCTAGTAACAGCGGAATCGTGCTGCACAATTTCTCTGAAAGAGAAAGCCTCGACATTGTCGCACCTTCGTCACCCACGCATTACAGTCAACTCAGCAATCCCGATTTCCTAGACTTCGCTGTTTTTAAAAACATTCCCTGGACCCCAAAGGCCAGAACCACCGACGATTTATCATCTGACCATCTCTCTGTAATTTTTGAATTGAATTGTCCAAAGGATGAATTCACAACAAGCTCAGCCGAGTAACTAATTGGGTTCATTTTCAACAAGATCTAATCTCCACCACGCCCCCCACTACTCGAAAACCACCATAGTCTCATCTTCCAAATTAATAAAGAACCCAAAAACCAAAGCCTTAATAAGGGAGAAAAATAAATAAAAGAAAAATAAAAAAGATGGCAATCAACCTGGGATCCAGCTCATATATATATAGAGCTACTTACCTCAATCTTCAAGGAAAGGTAAACCAAACCCTTGAAGCAGAGAAATCTGAAAATTGGAATAGTTTTTTAAGCAAACTTGAATCGAGCCCAACAGACATCTGGAAAAAAACAAAACCCATTAGGAAAAAAAACTGACAAAATCACTAGTTTAAATGCAAATGGAAAAACCTTGCTGCCCGACAAAGAAATTAGAAATGACCTTTCAGAGCATTTTTCCGAACACTTTTCCAAGGCGGAGGATGAGGTTCCGTCTTACCTAACAGATAACACTTGCCATCATCCCCAAGAGAATTTACTATAAATGACAACGCCAAATGAAGTTAAGGAAGTGATTAAAAACCTAGGTAATCACAAAGCTCCAGGCCACGACAATATTACGCCGCAAATTACTAAAAACATCCCCATCAAATGGATAGTTTTCCTCGCTGGGATCTTCAATGCTGCATTACACCTGTGCTACTTCCCGAAGACATGGAAACATGCCATTATCATAACCATTCCAAAAAAAAAACCTGTCAAATCACCTGAAGATCTCAGACCAATCAGCCTTCTCTCTACCATCGGTAAGGTATACGAGAGGATTGTTCTTCGCAGATTGCAGACATACATGTATTCTATTAACTTTATCATTCCTCAACAATTTGGATTCAGAAAAGGACACTCCACAACCCACCAGCTAATTACAGTAATAGACTACATCCAAATAAGAAAGTCCCACAAGGAGGCAGTAGGTGCTGTTTTTATAGACTTTACCAAGGCCTTTGATAGAGTATGGCATGATATTGCTTGATAACAAAAATAACAAAAAATCAATTTCCAAGGGACTTTATCAAATTCTTGAAAAACTATCTCCAGGACAGGACCTTTTCAATTAAGCAAGGGAATTATATAACCACGGCAAAACCAACCCAGATTGGAGTCCCTCAAGGCTCTATCCTTGGACCCTACTTATTCAACATCTACATCAACGATTTCCCTTCACATCCAAAATGTCAAACAAAACTTTTCGCAGATGACGCAGAAATTTTAGCAAACTACAAATCAAT